GTCTCGCTCTTACTCAGGCTGGTCTCGAACTCCTGACCTCAAGCGATCCTCCCGCCTCAGCCTCTATAGTAGCTGGGATTACAGGTGTGAGCCACCATGCGTGGCCTTAAATCATTTTTGTTACAAGTGACAGAAACTGGGCACTGTCCAGCTCAAGCAAAAAAGAGATTTGGTGGATTTAGAAACAAGAAAGTCTGGGCTTGGGTCTAACATCAGGCAAGCTGGTTTCACATCAGGACTCTGTGTCCTTCGCCATCTCTCAGTCACTCCAAGCGGTGGTGAAAGAGGATGCTGGTATCCCCAATAGTTACAATTTTAAAGCCCCCAAAGAAATGGGGCGGGGAGGTCTTCCCAGCTCAAGCCTCATATTGGAATTTAAGGAATACGCTGATTGGCCCATTTGAGTCACACGCCTTACCATGAACCAATCACTGTACTCAGGGGAGTGGAATACCATGATTGGTTGGCCCTGCTCAGTAGCCCATCTGTGGGTTACTTGGTTTACCAAACTGGGCCAGGATCACTGATTCTGGAGCCCAACCTTGCTGGACTCCTAACAACAGATCTGTGTCTGCTCAGAGCACCCATCTTGCCCCAGGTTACAATCTGGGTGGTGGATTATCTGCTATTAATAATAGGCTCTTCCCAGCGATGGTAACTGTTACCTTTGTTGACAGGAAATCTTCAGGGTTTGGGAGCAGCCTAGACTAGCATCAAGTGTCCCCTAGTTCTCTGATAATCCCGATCTTATCTCTCACCTCATTACTTCTCTCTTCTTTTAGCTCGGGGCAGAGAATTCGGCTCTGGCAATCCCACAAAATCAAGCAGATGTTAGTTTCTGCTTTGGGAAGGAGAACATTCAAGAAGCTTGTGCCTCGGGCATGGTGGCTCACACCTGTCATCCTCCCACTCTGGGAGGCTGAGGCCAGAGGATCACTCGAGATCAGCAGTTAGCCCAGCCTGAGCAAGAGCAAGACCCTGCCTCTACCAAAACTAAAAAAAATTAGCTGGGTGTGGTGTCATGTGCCTGCAGTCCCAGCTACTCAGGAGGCTGGGGCAGGAGGATCACTTGAGCCCTGGAGTTTGAGGTTGCTGTGAGCTAGGCTGACGCCACGGCACTCTAGCTCGAGTGACAGAGCAAGACTCTGTCTCAAAAACAAAACAAAACAAACAAACAAACAACAACAACAACAACAAAAAACCCACCGCTGAAACACACCTGTAGTCAAAAGAATTTAGGTTTATTTAGCTTGCTTCTGCGGAAGTTGGCATATCAGGGAACCACAGGGTGTCTCTATAAGGGGGAATTCGTGGCACGGGAGCTTCTTATAGGATTTGGGGTTGTGCTGCGTGGCTTTAAGGAAACTGGAAGCATTTCTAGGATGGTGTTGTCAGCAACCAGGATCAAACTGGTGACTGGGTATTTCAGTGATTTATATCTCCGAAGTGGGAGGATGGAAATAATCTTGGGATTGTCACTGGTAAGACACAGCAGTCATTTGAGTCAGTCAGAAGGGGATGTACATTCATTTTTGTGGTTGTACAGTGTCCTTATCATTATCTTGGTTCAGACATGGTCACAGAGTGGCCTTGTCTGGTCGTTGTTTATATCCTGGGCCCACTGTTTATGATGTCCCATGGCCCAGCTGCCAGGGGCCAGGAGAGGTTTCTCACTGTCTCTCCCGGGCTGGGACCTGTGTCTCCAGGTAAAGTTTGCCCAGAGCCCTTCCCAGCCCTAAGTTTCTCCAGACATCATCACTTACATCAGACACCCGGAGCCCACCAGGGACCGCAGCGACCCACCACCGTCTGGGTAGGCGGCTGAGAGCATTAAGGGAGAGGCTCCCCAAGGCCATTCCTTGGTTGGGGAGATTGTTAAAGGGTGTTACCCAGAAATGGTAGAGAGGGTCTCACCATCGAAAACACCCCAAACAAAACTTGGAGAAATGCTGGATTAAGCAGACAGGCCTGGTTTTAAACTGCAGGGCTTCTCAGAGGCTCGTCACGCGTGTGCGCGTCGCTAGTCTGCAAGGGCAGTAGCGCGTTTGCTGATTTTTGAGCAGGGAGAGCAACTCCAGTGGCGCGATCGGCTAGCGCGGCGCCTGTATGAACAAAGAATCAGAGACGTGGGCAGGAGGCAGAGGCAGAGAGAGACAGAGAGAGGGACAGAGAGGGAAGGACAGGCAGGATCAGGGCCGCAGAGGGGCTGACACAGGCACGGGAACAGACGGAGGGACAGGCCCGGGCGGCGCGGGCGGGGCGCGGCGCAGACAAAGGCGCGGCCGGGGCGGCCGGGCCGGGACAAAGGCTGGCCCGGAGGGCGGGGGCAGCGGCGATGGCGACGGCCGCGGCGGGCGCGGGCGAACTACAAGTCCCAGCAGCTCCCGCTGCGGCCCTCGGCCGGCCCCTCTCGCTCCCCGGGAGCGCCTGGCGGGGCCGCTGGGCCGAGGGGGCCGCCGGCGGGGCTGGCGGGCGGGGGGCTTCCTGCGGGTCCGGGGGGCGCCGGCGGCCGGCGCGGGCGCGGCGGGCCGGGCAGGGGCGAGGGGCACCGGGTGAGTGTCCCCGCGAGCGGGCTGGGGCCGGGCGGGGGCGGGTGGGGGGCCCGCGTGCGGGGCGCGGCCCGGGGCGACCTCTATTCGCCCCCAGCCCCGCGCGCCGCCGGCCCCGGCCTGGGCGAGCGGGGTCGCGGGCGCGATCGGAGGGGACCCCGCGGCCAGCCGGCCTAGCGCGTCCATCCCGCCGCTGCGGCCTGGGGGTAGGGCCCCGAGGCTGGGAGCCTTCAATCGGACCGGGTCCCTCGGTATTGTTCCCACCTCCCGCGTGGGCCTGGGGTCGGGAGTTCACGAGGCCTTTTCCTCAGGAGGGGCATCCAGGGGTTCCCCTCCCCCTAGTACCCCGGGAAGGGGCCTAGCTATTGTTCCCCTCCCCCTCCAGTCTTGGGGTCTGGAGTTCTGGAAGCGCCCCCCAGGAGGTGATCCAGAGGGGTCCACCTGCCCACCAGGAACTCAGGAAGGACCCCAGTGATTTCTCCTCCCACCTTCCAGTTAGGAAGTGGGAATTCAAGGGGGCCCCTCCCTCTGGAAGCAATCTAAGGGCTTCTCTGCCCCTCAGGAACCTAGGGTGGGGGGGACCCAGGTATTGCTCCCCCCACCCTCCAGCTACCGGGTCTGGATGGAGGAGGCCTCCAGGAACTCTGCTCTGGTTGCTTAACTACGCCCAGCTATGGGGCTGTGGCTCAGTATGTCCCCCTCCCTGAAAGGGGAGCCAGAGGTCCCCCTAACCCCTAGGCATAGATCTACACCCAGCCATGGGGTGGGCAGCTCAAGCACCTCTGCAACAGGTCATCCTGAGCGCCTCCTTGCTCCCCAGAAGGAGTCCCAACTATTGTTTTTCACCCTGCCTGCCTGCCCCCAGCCATGACCCTGGCATTGAGCTCAGTTGGAACTCTTTCCTCCAGGAAGGAACACAAGTGTGTTGACACCATCCCTGTGCCCCAGCCATGGAAGGGCACAGTCTGGGGTTTTCCCCGGTAACCCAGGAGGGTCCCCACGTATTCTTTTCGCCTACCCTCCAGCTAGCGGGTAGAATTCAGGATCTTCTCCGTTGAGCGCAACTTAGCACACACCTGGAATCCCAGCTACTTGGGAGCTTGGAAGGCTGAGACAGGGGGATCGCTTAAGCCCAGGAATCCAAGACTAGACTGGGCAACATAGTGAGACCCCATCTCAAAAGAAAAAAGAAAAGAATTCAGGATCTTCTAGCCAATGGGGGAAAAAAACAGGTATACTGACAACTGTCCCTACCCTCCTGACTGCGGGGTCCGTTAGTTTCCCTGTCTACCCCTCCCAGCCAGGAGGGGTCCCCTATATCATTCTCTCACACTCGCCCTCTGGCTTTAGGAAGGGGTTCTAGGTCTAAGAGAGAACATGGATGTTTGGACACTATTCCCACCCCAAGCTGTGAGGTCTGGAATTCAGGTTGTCTCCTCCCTAGAAGGCAAGCAGTCCTCCTCCGGTGACCTAGGAGGGGTACCAGATGTTGTTTGCACCCGACTTCTGTCCCCCAGCTACAGGTTCCAGAGCTCAGGATGCCACCTGTCTAGGAGGTGAACCAGAGGTCCCCTCCCTACCAGGAACCCCCAAATCTGCCACCTCCAACCATGGGACAAGAATTCAGGCCATGTGCTCAGGAACACAGAAACCCTGACACCTATCCTCTTCCCCATAAGGGAACCCCCATCCAGGGGGTCAGCACCTAGGACTGTCTCCTCCACAGGACCCCAGCCTCCCACAAGAGGAGCCCAGGATGGAGAGAGGGGCAGAGCCATGGCGTTGGGCACTGGAGATCTCTAGTCCTGGGTCCTATGACTTCCATCCAGGTTTGGGGCTGGGGGGGGCTCCCACCATGTTCCACCAGGGTCCCTCTACTTCCTGCCCTGGCTGGGGTGAGTCAGAAGTCTCTCTGAAGTTGGACACAAGAGAAAGATCCATGTGTGTGCATAGTAGTGGGTTCTGGCGGCATAGCCGGGTCCCCTCGCCCAAGAGATCCCCCCCTTCCTGAGAACCTACCTGCATCTACCCTCTGTCTTCCTCTCTGCAGATCGTGCCCCAGAAGCGGCTGGCACTTCCACGCCTGGGATGCGGCGCTCCGTCCTCGTAAGGAACCCCGGCCACAAAGGCCTGAGGGTGGTTTATGAAGAGCTTGACTCTGACTCAGAGGACCTGGACCCCAATCCGGAAGATCTGGACCCAGTGTCTGAAGACCCAGGGCCTGACCCGGAAGACCTCAACACTGTCTCCGAAGACGCGGACCCCAGCTATGAAGATCTGGAGCCGGTCTCCGAGGATGCGGACCCCGATGCCGACGCTCCGGGCTCTATCTTGGGCAACCGCGATTCTGAACCCCAAGATCCTGACCCCATGTCTTCGAGTTTTGACCTCGATCCTGATGTTATCGGCCCCGTACCCCTGGTTCTCGACCCTAACAGCGACACTCTCAGCCCCGCTGCTCCAGATGTGGACCCCCTTGCGTCCGGCCTCACTGCCACCCCCCAGGTCTTGGCCACCAGCCCCGCGGTGCTGTCCGCCCCTGCCAGCCCGCCCCGGCCCTTCTCCTGCCCCGATTGCGGGCGAGCCTTCCGCCGCAGCTCGGGGCTGAGCCAGCACCGCCGCACCCACAGCGGCGAGAAGCCGTACCGCTGCCCCGACTGCGGCAAGTCGTTCAGCCACGGTGCCACCCTGGCGCAGCACCGCGGCATCCACACCGGGGCCAGGCCGTACCAGTGCGCAGCGTGCGGCAAGGCCTTCGGGTGGCGCTCCACGTTGCTGAAGCACCGCTCCAGCCACAGCGGGGAGAAGCCGCACCACTGCCCGGTGTGCGGCAAGGCCTTCGGGCACGGCTCGCTGCTGGCGCAGCACCTGCGCACGCACGGTGGCCCGCGGCCCCACAAGTGCCCGGTGTGCGCCAAGGGCTTCGGCCAGGGCTCGGCGCTGCTCAAGCACCTGCGCACGCACACGGGCGAGCGGCCCTACCCCTGCCCGCAGTGCGGCAAGGCCTTCGGGCAGAGCTCAGCGCTGCTGCAGCACCAGCGCACGCACACGGCCGAGCGCCCCTACCGCTGTCCCCACTGCGGCAAGGCCTTCGGGCAGAGCTCCAACCTGCAGCACCACCTGCGCATCCACACGGGCGAGCGGCCCTACGCCTGCCCGCACTGCTCCAAGGCCTTCGGGCAGAGCTCGGCGCTGCTGCAGCACCTGCACGTGCATTCGGGCGAGCGGCCCTACCGCTGCCAGCTCTGCGGCAAGGCCTTCGGCCAAGCCTCCAGCCTCACCAAGCACAAGCGGGTGCACGAGGGCGCGGCTGCCGCCGCTGCTGCTGCTGCTGCTGCCGCTGCCGCCGCCGCTGCTGCAGCCGCCGCTGGCCTAGGCCTCGGCCCTGACCTGACCCCTGCATCCGGGATGAGGCCGGGGCAGGTCTCCCTCCTGGGTCCCGAGGCTGTCTCCATGCTGGGCTCGGGTCTGGGCCTCAGCCCTGGCACCAGCTCTGGAAGCGGCCCTGACCCTGGCTCTGTGCTGGGCACTGTCCCCAATCCCGGCCCCAAGCCCCTCTCTAGCTCCAGATCCACCCCCAGCCCTAATCCTGTGGAATCGCCTGACCCTAAGCCTGGGCACGATGCTGATCCTGACCTCGTGGCCAGCTCTGATCATGAATCTGACCCCAGTCCTAGCCCTGATCCTGTGCCCAGCCCTGACCCCTGCTCTCCCACCCATGACGCTATCAGCCCGGCCCTCCCTACTGGCGAGAGTCCCCAGTGGGTACAGGAGCAAGGGGCACTGCTCGGGCCTGATGGCTGAAGGGGGCGCTGGCATCCAAGGGGGCCTGCGGAAGTTGTGTGTTGTGCAGTTAGTAAAATCCTCCCACTGCTTCCCGGCTCAGTGTCCTGGTTTGCCTTTTGCGCTTTCTTCCCCAATACACAGCCCCTTCCTCCGGAGGTGTAATGATGTGGCCTGGGCCACCCATAGTCTGGAGTCCCAGTGTCCTGGCTTCCTTCTGGGGCCAGAAGCCACACCAGCCAGGCTTCCCAGCCTCCCCCATGAGGTCTCACACTGGTCCACCTGCTCCGCCAACCTACTCCTTGCTTGCCCTTCAAAGCCAACGTAACAGGTGCATCACTGGACAAAGAAGGCTGCTCATTTATGCATTCAACAAACATCTCTTGATTTCAGGAGTCTTCACCCTCACTGAACTCATAGGTGCGGTGGCCCATGCCTGTAATCCTAGCACTCTGGGAGGCCGAGGAGGGAGGATTGCTTGAGGTCAGAAGTTCGAGACCAGCCTGAGCAAGAGCGAGACCCTGTCTCTACCCAAATTAGAAAAATTAGCCTGGTTTGGTGGCACGTGCCCATAGTCCCAGCTACTCTGGAGGCTGAGGCAGGAGGATTGCTTGAGCCCATGAATTTGAGGTTGCGGTGAGCTGTGATGATGCCACTGTACTCTACCCAGAGTGACAGAGTGAGACTCTGTCTCCAAAAAAAAAAAAGACTTCTGATTTAGATGGAGGGTGACAGCTTCCTCAAGGGAGGATTTCATAATCAGAATAACCACTAATTTAATAATCAGTACTGTTTGCCCATCCTTATGCCCTGCTCTTGCATTCGCTCATTTAATTCTCTCAGCAGCCCCATGAGGCAGGTAACTGATCGAGTATCCTCATTTTCCAGATGAGGAAACCAAGACACATGGAGTTTAAAGGACTCTGGAAGATGTAGAAATGTCAGTTGGCAGTGCCTAGATTTTTTTTTAATTTTAATTTTTTGTTTTTAGAGATGGGATCTTGCTTTGCTGCCCAGGCTGGTCTTGTACTCCTGCACTCAAGCAATTCTCTGGCCTCAGCCTCTCAAAATGCTGGGATTACAGGCATGAGCCACTGAGCCTGGCCATTGCCTAGGTTTAAACCCAAATTGCCCTTTAGAGTGTAGGTTTTTAACCATTATGCTCCAGGGCAAGAGTGTGCAAAGGCCCTGGGGCCATAGGTGTGCCACAGGAGTAGGTAGGGTCCAGACCAGAGAGCCCTGACTAATGGAGGTGGGGAATTTGCTTGTCGTTTCAGAGCAATGGGAAGCCAAGGGCAGGTTATGGTAGAGGACTGATGTGAATTATTCTTTGATGATGCTTCTAGCTGCTGAGTGGAGAACAGAGTGGAGGGAAGCTGGGATCAGGGAGGAGGTTGCTACAATGTTCTAGGCCAGGAATGTTGGAGGGCTCTGGGCTGGGGGCCATAGGGGTGGGGATAAGTGGTTCTATTTACTACGTAATTAGGAAATTGGGTTTGCTGTTGGTCCTGATGAGGGGGACAGAAGGACATTCTGGGAGAAAGGAAGACGGCAGCCTTAGGCCGGGCATGGTGGCTCACGCCTGTAATCCCAACACTCTGGGAGGCCAAGGCAGGAGGATCGCTTGAGCTCAGGAGTTCGAGACCAGCCTGAGCAAGAGCGAGATCTTGCCTCTGCCAAAAACAGAAAAATTAGCCTGGCATGGTGGCACGTGCCTGTGGTCCCAGCTACTCAGGAGGCTGAGGCGGGAGGATCGCTTGAGCCTAGGAGTTGGAGGTTGGAGTGAGCTACGGTGACGCCACTGCATTACCCAGGGCAACAGAGTGAGGCTCCGTCTCAACAAAAACAACAACAAAAAGGCAGCCTTGAGATAGTATGCAGGGTCATCACCACAC